AGGGACTGACGTCATCCTCTGCTCAGCTCACCATGACTCCACTATATCTTTACATAGCAAATAGTTGTTTGCTGTGTGATGTTTTAAATCTCATATACAGTATATACCGTTTAAATAATCTGTTTGTGATTATTGTTGTATCTGAAAAATGCAGCTTTTCAGCAGCAAAGACAGCTTTCAGACAGAACAGTGTGAAATTTACAGGTGGGGTAGACGCACTGTCAATCCAAGCGGGCATATGGAGCAATATATAGCCAATTCCGATGTAGGTAACAAGATTTGAATTGAAAAAGTGTCGAGCTGAGTGAGGGATTGTCCTCAGGCAATGAAGAGAGAGCCAATCTGACTGAAGCAGCTCCTGTAAGTTTCCTCTTCCTACAGCAGTATTTACAGCAGCACTAATGTCCCCTGGGTATTTATGACCAGGAAGAATGACGCCTGAGCATACGGTTTATGTACACGATATTCCTTAAGAAGACAGTACTAAAGCTGCTGCTATGAGCATGAAAAGCTTAACATGAAGCCTGACTGAATGAATGCATTTGATTAGCAGAAGCAGGATCTCAAGTATGTGAGCACATTGTCTGAGTTTTTTTTTCTTTTTCTGTCAAGGATATTTCATTAAAGAACATCAAAAGCAGAAGTTACTTCCTCTCTGTCTCCTTTTTTCTTCCTCTTTTTATGTGGCGTTGGCAGAGGCTGCAGCAGCTGAATGTCACAGGTAGACTGGACCATTCCTACTAATTAGTTAGTTTATGATAGAGCGGGGGAATAAAGGGACGTTACGCTGTACTATCTGTCCACTCGTGACCTCTTGTACCTGCCTGGGCACCTGGCAGGAACATGAATCTTCCCTGAGGATGGGTGACTAACCTGAAGACACAAATAAAAATGCCGTATAGCATAACCTGAGGAGACAAAGAGAGGAGGTGGAGGAGAAGTGCGAGGGAGATTTTAATGAGGGAAATGAGAGGGTGGGGAGATGCAGTGCTTTGCTGCTGATGAAAGAGGAGATTAAGAAGTGATAGAAGGAGAGGGCGCAAGGTGGGGAGAGAGGGATGTCGAGAGAGAGGGATGTAGTGCTTAAGGGAGAAGGGGAAGAACAAAAAAAAGGAGGAGGTGGCGGCAGTGGAGGCAGAGGAAGGAAATGAGAGAGTGTGATGACGAGGTGTGTGTTTTCTTTTTCAAAAGTTTTCAAAGTTTAAAGAGATGGTGAAAGTTTGGATGTCTGCGAGGGTTTAACATATCTGCAAAACACCCCCAGGTTGGAATAAAGAGACAGTTTGGGAGGCTGAATCATAGAGCTGCTATACTTAATCAGTAGAATGGCCATTCCAGATTGTGTGTGAATGTGCAGTGTGGGATGGGGGTGAGAGTGAAGTTAGTTTTATTTAGCCTAGATCATATCGAGAGTGTCATCCTCCCCCTCTCACAGAGCAGGCGACATACTTTCAATTATAGTCAAAGTCTCCTCATTTCTTGTGATTATATTTCTCTCATTATTGTGTTAACTACCATGTGAGTCTCTTATGGAGAGCAACGATGTGTAGAGGCAGGTGAACGGAAGCAGAGCGTGAGCAGAACAACGAGCTGAAGAGATTGAAGTGGAACAAAATTAGGAACGTTGACGGAAATAAAATAAGCATGGAGTCAAAAGGGTGTTTCCTAATATAGGGGCAGCAGAGGTGGTAAGAAAGTGAGCAAACTGTCCCAGCAGTAAAAACAGTAATACATTTGCTAATATGGACATTCTATAATTAATTGAATCATTATTAAATGATGTATGTCTTTAGTTTTACAATATCTTATTAAAGTTTCTACATGTTTATTATTTTATTACTGTATTTTATAATAAAGCTTAAAGATGCGTTTGTAAATATCATTAACCTATACTAGAAATGACTATATATATATATATATATATATATATATATACACTTGGGTATGAATTATCTTAATATTTTTAGTTAGCCTCTAGTATTGGTAGAAAGTAAATAAGTACATTTATTCAAGTAATATACTTACTTCTTTCTGTTATTCTATGAATTTAATAATCGTTTTCTATGTATGTAGCATGAAGAAAGTGCAAACTTAATTTTGCTACACAATCTTGTGTTGTATAATGATAAATACATCTTGATTCCTTAAGTACAGTTTTGAGGTACTTCACTTTAGGATTTCTATTTTCTGCTACTTTATATTTCTTTCCCTATCACAATTCAGAGGCAAATATTGTATTTTTACAATTTTATTTATTAGATAAATGTGGTTACTGATTACTTTCCAGATTGAGAATGTGATTTTATTGATCCCTAGGCAGAAATAAATGAATTAAAATGAGCCCCATATTAACGATCTATAATATCAGTTCAATTCAATTCAATTCAATTAAATCCAATTTTATTTGTATAGCGCCA